AGGGGTCTTTATACAGCCGCCAGATCTCTCTTAGCGATCCTCCTACACTTTGCAGATGTGAAATTTCAACCTCCAGATGCTCTCCCAGATTTCCGAAATAACGTACCGGGCAGGTTTGCTACGGTGAGATGAGAGAACTTATTATCATTACTTTTTAATGAGTGGGGAAGGGATAGCTGGGAAATGAAGAGGATTCACAGACAAGCAGCAGATTGAACAGAAAGAACAGAGAAGTCAAAGTGTGCTTCAGCCGGGGTGGCTCCCCGGCACGCAAAAAGGGGATTGTCTTAGTCCACTCCCAACACAGCGGTATCCAGTAAACTCTACAAGATACTGCAACTGGATACTCTTAGACAATGTAGGGTTGCTTAAAAGAGACAAACTCGAGTGACAGTATGTATGGCGAGTGCTAACGTTGAGTGTGAAGTGTACACCTCAAACTGGAAGTGACTGGGGAATGAAATCAACTAAGTAGATAGGTAGGAAACCTTCCTTGCAACGTTTACTTTGTTAATTTTTTTGAACTGGTATAGAATAACTTTTAAAAATGAACATAAAAGTTTTCTGTATCATTGTAACATTTTCAAATAAAGTGTGATTTAGTTATTTCCTCCCCTCACTCCCCACTGCCTGCTACCCTCCTTATCCCTACTCACCCACCCACCTTGCAGCCTTCCCCTGAAAGTTTTGCTTGGTACTTTTTTCTTAGCGGAGCAGAGCTGTGCCTAGGGTTGGCTGTTAGACCCGGTCCCCAATCTAGCTATGCAAACTGCTATCCAGATTTCTTCCTATGGGATATCTGCACTTTCAAGAGAATATTTTAGGAAGAGACAACTACACAGGACAGAGTTGCAGGAGAGAAACTGACAACCTTAGGAGCAAAAGACCTGTGTGAGCCTGCAGGCCTGAGGCCAACCCTGTAGCAATGTGAGTGAGCTGTGGACTTTTGTGCCTTTCTAGTTGACCTGGGGTTTATCCAGGAGCTGTGGGCATCAAAGAGCAGCATCATCTATTAGCAACAGTGGACACCTTGTCTAATTGTCTCTTATGCTCAAGTCATTTTCTTTCATAATGTGTTACCTTTGTTGGTGACAATATAAAGAGGTTGTACACTTTATCCTCATGGTGTATTTAACATGACATCATTCATCCAGGTACTTTTTTTTTTGTTGTTGTTGTTGTTCTTTTGGAAACAGGGTTTCTCTGTGGCTTTGGAGGCTGTCCTAGAACTAGCTCTTGTAGACCAGGCTGGTCTCGAACTCACAGAAATACACCTGCCTCTGCCTCCCAAGTGCTGGGATTAAAGGCGTGCACCACCAACGCCTGGCTCATCCAGGTGCTTTCTACAGCACCTAGTGAGATAAGTTGTCCAGGCAGGCCTTGAACTTACAACTTTTTTTAATTAAAAAAAAGTGTGTGTATGGGTATGTATATGTGTATAACTCACATGCCTGGTTCCCAGAAGAAGGGGCAGGACCTTCTGGAAATTGAGTTACAAACAATTATGAACTGCCATGTAGGTAGTGAGAATGGAACCCAGGTTCCCTGGATGAACAGTCAGTGCTTGTTAGCACTGAGCCATCTCTCCAGTCCTTATAACCCTTGCTTAACTTGAGTCTATAGCCCCTGCCTACCCAGGGGTATGTGGCTGGAACTCAAAGGTTCTATGAACTTGAATAGGGAAATATTGCATCTTTATTTTATATTAACACTTATTCTAAATGTAGCATTTCCTTTTTTTTTACTAATATAGGTGATAAAGTACATTAATATCATCATGGTTTTAAATAAAGTAAACCATTTTTATTCCCTTCTCAGAGTAATGATTTTAAATGTATTAAGTACATAAACACAGGAAATAGCTAATTACATTTAGTGGTTGCTTAGACACTATGATTTCAAATATAATATAGTAGCAAAGATTTATCCTAAGACAAGACAGTAGTGGTGAATTTGTCACCAGTGGAGGTCCCAGGTACTTGCATCTCACATCCTAAATGTTGTGGATCTTTTGAAAAAAAAATGTCATTTCTTAGAAATTATGGTAATATGTGTAGTTTTTAATGTGTTAAAAATTAAGCAAATATATTACCATATTGCATTTTTAATTTAAGTATTTTAATAACTACTAGAACTCATTATTTTCTGTGTTGCTGTATTTTAACTTATGCATTTAAAATTTTGACATAGGAACCAATATATGTTTAAAATCATTGTTCTGAGTGGACTGTAAACCAGGCTTCCTTAGACCACCAAAAAGATTTATGGAGCAAAAAAAGTTAATGAGCCCTAGCCTAGTGGGAGTCCTCAGCTGTGACACTGATGCTTTGTCCTTGCTTCACCATCTATCCATGGCATCTGGTGTGGAATTTTTCCTCACTTATTTTGCTCTGAAATCAAGATTAGCGGCAATCAGTCCTTGCAACTATAGAAACACTAAGTGCAATTTTCCTTTGATTTAAAAAGTACAGTGCAGCAATTTTCCAGTGGCCTCTATTTTGAGCTTTTCCAGCTTGTTAAGTTACTGATTTCTATTTCCCCCATGGAGAAAGAGAGTAAAACACTTGAGGCTAAATCAACAAGTAATTACCAAGCATCCCTCAGAAGGCAGGCTACATTTTAGAAGAGTCTTTTCTTTCCTCTTCTTTCTTTCTTTTCTTTTCTTTCTTTTTTTTTTTTTTAACTGATCCTTCTGTCTGTCTAATACAATAGGCTCCAGCCGTCTTAGAAAAACACCACAACCAGTTTACCCTGCCTAATCTTCTTTGCTCCCAGCTTGAAAAGGGCCCCACCCCCACGGGACTAGAGTTGACTTGGCTGTGAGCTAAACCCTCTTTTGATAGAACAACTTTGTCCCTCAGTCCTGGCCAGCTCCAGTGTGAACAAAACCTGATAGTTTTCTTTCTGTCTTCAAGTCCACTTGATCTGGGTTCAGGTATAGTTGTCTGTTTCAGGTATAGTTGGGGTAAAGTTCTGGCAACATACTTCTATTGTAGAACCAAAGGCCAAAATATTCAGGAATGACTCAGGCTAGATACAAGATAACGGGGCAGTGTACATTTCTAAACAGGAAGAGACCTAGTCTACCTGTCTGTTTTACAGGGCAGTGTGGTCTTCTTGGAAGTTTGCTCTAGCATATAGGCATGTTGTTTTTCTGCTTCTGCAGAATCTATTTTCCTCCCTCAGGTAAACAAAAGGCAGCTTGCTCCTGAGGGTCCAGCAACAGTACAATAAAGCCATGCCCTGATTTGGGATACAGTTCTGAACCCTCAAAGAGTCTGCCATAAGTTGAAAAATACATATTGAAAATGTATTTGACACATGTAATCTATAGAAGATCACTAACTTAGACCAGCATACCTTTAAAGTGCTCAGAACACTTACATTAGCCTACAGTTGGGCAAAATTACCAATGCAAAGTCTGTTTTATAAGAAAGTAGGAAATGTCACACGTAAGTTATTGAATACCTCGAGCCACGAAACACTGGCAACACAGTGCTGTGTAGTGCAGCTGATAGGCAGCTGCAGTTGGTCCCAGGGTCTCCAGAGAGTATTATGCTATGCCATGAAGACTCATATAGTCAGGGTTAGGAGGAGGCTTGCAGAGCTGATGCCTTCCCCAGTACTAGAAATTGAACCTCAGGCCTCCCTTGTGCATTCGGGGCAAGTGCTCTAGCCCAGTAGGGACAAACTCACTTTGTAGCTCAAGGAGGCCTTGAACTTGGAATCCTCTTGCTTCAGCCTCCTAAGCAGTAAGGGATACAGGCCTACATTGCCAGGGAGGAGCTCTTGAAGGAACGTGGAGAAAGAGAGAGAATGTGAGGAGGGGGAGTTAAGACAGAGGAAACAGCAGGAATGAAAAGGTAGAGTGGGTTAACAATAGCATCACTGTTTGGAGGATGCAGAGGGGTTAAGTGCCCTGGGAAGCTGAGGCTGGAGCCAGCAGCAAGTGACAGCAGTGAGCTGGGAAGACCAGGCTGCCTAGGGCCAGGCTTTTGCTTATTTGCCACTGTATCATGAAGGTTCCCATTAAAATGCACTAATCCAGACCACTTGGGAAAAAAACGGGGGACTGTGCCTCCAAGAGTTAAAGATGGCAAAATGAGATTTCATGACAGCTTTCCTAATGTGGAAAAGGTGAGCTATGGGAGTGCCAAGAAGCCCTGGTATTTGCTGTGGATCCAAGCCACAGAGCACCTGCCCCCGTTCTTTTCATTCTTATCAGGCTGCACACCCCTCCCATGTCTGTTTTCCTAAATCTGGGTGTCACAGCCCTTTATCACCCTGCTCACAGTCTTATGAGCTACTGTGTGAACATTCTAGCTATTGGAGATTGGAGCCCAACCCTCCAGCTAAGGTCAGTTAAAACAAGGATAGCTGTCACATTTTCTCCTATTCAAATGTCCTTTTATTGATGAAAACTGGGGATGCAGCCTTTTCTCTCTTAAAAGCTCGTGACACACTGCACATTCACACTCAACACTTCCTGGGCTAAATATATACTTTATTCACACATGTATTAATTCCATACTGTAAGTGATTTTTGATCTACTGGGAAGGATAGGTTATAAAGGAAGTAGTGGAGTTGGAGATGTTACTTAGTTGGTGCTACATGACAAACATAAAGCCCTGGGTTCAATCCCCAGCATGCTTAAACGAAAAATGGTGGCACAAGCCTGAAATCCTAGCATTCAGGAGGTGAAGGTAAGAGGATCAGAAGTTCAAGGTCATCCTTTGCTGCACAGTAAGTTTGAAGCCCGCCTGGAATGCATGAGATTCAGCCTCAAAAGGAGAGGTGGGAGCAGCAGGGGAGGGACTAAATATAGTTTCATAATGGTGGCTTCAAAACAGGCTAGGGGAGGCTACAGGGACCTGTTTTTCTTTTGCACTTTCTTCTGCCATCCTTTTTTTTTTTTCTTAAAAGAGACATTTCTAAAAAACTCAAAATGGATTTCCTAAGGTCTGAGTTGAGAAGATCTAACACTGCAGAACTTGGCAGAACACGTGATTGTAACTGGACCTCTTACAAGGTCTCGGCCACCACAGCCCCTTTTCTCTCCCATCTTAGGAACCTGGACATGACCAGAAAGATCTTCACAAATACCAGGGAGCGCTGGAGGCAGCAGAGTGTCAACAGTGCCTTTGCCAAGCTGCGGAAGCTCATCCCCACTCACCCTCCAGACAAGAAGCTGAGCAAGAATGAAACGCTCCGTTTGGCAATGAGGTATATCAACTTCTTGGTCAAGGTCTTGGGAGAGCAAAGCCTACAGCAAACAGGAGTGGCTGCTCAGGGAAACATTCTGGGGCTCTTTCCCCAAGGGCCCCACCTGCCAGATGTTGATGAAAGAACTTTACTCAATGACTGTGGAGTTTCTTCCCCCGGCCCAAGCCATGAGGCTCCCTAGGGTGGCTGTGACTGTCAGCCCCCAGGACGGTACAAGTTGAAAAGTCCTGTGGTTTCATTCTGTAAAGAGGTGTGACGCAGGAAGTGATGGGGACAGAAGCTGAGAGCTGCAAGGAGACTTGAGCAATGTTGCCCTGGCCTCATTACCCCAGAACCTCAGGCAGAACAGCTAGCTGCTCTCTGTTCTATAAGTCTGCAGAAGTCCATAGCAAAAAAAGCAAACAAGCATATGTTTAAAACGGCCATCTCACTCACGACTTCAGTAACGAGGATTTCCTTATACTGGATCTCAGATGGATGGGCAAAGCTGTTGCCCTCTGAAAATACTTTTGCTTTGAAAAAGGAGACATGTTTGATTGAGGGTAAATACAAGAAATCTTAAAATTGATGGATAGAAAGATAGCCGCTGTGGAAACCAGCCTGGCAGCGGTGTGCGGCCGTCTCTGGAGGGATGTCCCTTTGGAGCAGAGCTGGGAGGATTATGTATGTGGGAAGATTCCATGTCCTTAGGCCTCTACAGAATCATGCTATTTTACTTCAGTTGAGCCGCTGGAACCAAATAGTGGATTTCATTCATTCGAGGAAAAACCTTGATGATTTAGGAGTTAGACTTCATAGTTTTCTTATAAAAATTAGCTAAAATGAGTGAGCAAACTACTTAGTGTGACTTACTGGGTACTGAACTGTTAATTCAAATTCCTGCTGACTTAGGTCCTGTATAATTCAATAATTATGAAAGCCCAAATGTTGCCATTTAATATTTTGTTGAGAGCAAACAATAGAAATAAAGGACCAGATAGATGCTAATGAACTAGTGCATTTAACTCCACCTTCCTACCTCCCAGGGAGCATTAGCCTGGTCATAAGCAGGGGCAGGGCAGCCAGCACCCAGTAAATCAGTAGAGCAGTATGGATGCTCTGTCACCACCACACACCATTCTGGTCCTCATGGACTTGGATTCAAAGAAGAATCCATTGGCTGCGCCCCACATGCAGGTGTCTATCTCTAGGACATTATATTTCCCAGAATTTTTTTGGCTTTATGATCTTCTGAGTCACAGGTGGGAAATCTACGGATTGTGGTTATGAATTTCCAGTATCTATACAACACAGGAATTTAAACGTTTTGTCTCTCTGGAAGGTATTTATAAGTAACTACATCATTAAGGTCGATTTAACCAATGCACTTTTAGCACAACAGGCTTCCCCCTATGTCCTTTGCTTAGCCTGCACTTGATTAATTTCTGCACAGAAACAGTATAGAGACAGGGAACCACAGAGGCTGGTGGAGCCCTTCCTTCCACTCCAGATATGTATGCCTTTGTCACCACCTTGGGGAGAGTCAAGCTTATCTCCAAATTACCAGGCAGTGAGATGTTTCAAAGTTTTTATGGCTGTTGTCAATTAAGTAATACTGCCCTCTCATCTGGCATTAAATAAAGTACGTTTGACAGTGACTTTACTTTTACTTAGCTTACTCGAATATGAAGAAAGCAGAGGCCCTCTGTTCCTAAAAGCAAAATTTTTGTGCTTTATACTGTACACACTCCCTTTCCTGGTGCTTTTGTGTGTGCTCAAAGAAGGCTGCCCACTGAAATGCTACAGGGACCCCAAAAAGATGTGAGTGAGGGGGAAAGTTATTTAAAGACAGCCTAGAGGAAATCCTTTCACAGATGAACCAACCTTTACAATGTTATTATATGTAATGTACTCCTTAAAGTATTTATTCAGCTTTAGCTTCCTTCCTTTCTTCCTTCAATTCTTTCTTTCTTTCTTTCTCTCTCTCTCTCTCTCTCTCTCTCTCTCTCTCTCTCTCTCTCTCTCTCTCTCTCTCTCTTTCTTTCTTTCTTTTTTCGAGACAGGATTTCTCTGTGTAGCTTTGGAGCCTGTCCTGGAACTTGCTCTGAAGATTCACCTGCCTCTGCCACCCAAGTGCTGGGACTAAAGGTGTGCACCACACACCCCCACCCCCGCTTTAATTTTCTGTATCAAGTTGAATTAAATTAACAGGACTGTCAAAAAAACAAAACCAAACCAAAAAGAAACAATAAACAGCTGTAATCACGTGTGGTCCCAAACCTAGTCGTGATATGTGTGAGATTGGAAACTAATTCAAAACTCCCTGTGTGGTTTTCTTTGGTGGTCCTAGCAATAAGACTTCATAGTTCAAATGTGTTACAGTCCACTGGATGTTACATTTGTTTAGGGGCCATTTGAGTCTAAGAGAAGAGTTAAACCAAATTTTCTGACTATGTTTCTCTGTTCTTTAAACTGAAGTGAGCATTTGATCTGCTTTGGACAGTAATGGAAATCTTTAGAAACCACATTCAAGCAGGATTTTGCTTTGTATAGACCGTGTTACTCCATGTCACAGAGAAGAAACAGGTTTGTCTTATGGGCCATCGGCAGAAACCTAGGACACAGTGTCAGTCTGATCAGTCACTATGTGCTTGGGATTGAAAATGAACAAGCGCCTTATCATTACGCTAACCTTTTCCCCAAAGCATTTTGTCATCTTCATATGCTTTCTTGTGTTATGAGACTGCCATGCTCTGTAGAATGTGAGTAACTGCCAACCAAAGATTTTTATCTGTTGATGTGCTTTGTGAGCTCTTAACCATTGATCATAACTTGCTATTTAACTGTTAACTTATTACAAATAAATTATTTAAGAAAATAATTGTCCTTTTATTTTTAGGTGTAATTTCATAAACTTACTAAGCATATCCATCGCAACTCTGCACTTTCATGGCCACTGCCCTGACAGGGAACAAAACCCTTTCCATACTCATTGTCCTTAGATTAAAAAACAATTAGCAACTCTCCCCTCTCCCCATGTCCTCACAGCAGAGTGCTTCCTTCTTTCCCCCTCTCTTTTCTTTTCTCCCCCCCCTTTTCAGACAGTTTGTTACATAAGACCCTAGTGGTCTTGAAGGTATGACCCTTCTGTGTCAGCCTCTCTTGTGCTGGGATTACAGGTAGGTGCCACTACATCTGATTCATATGGCTTCCTAATTGTCTTCAAATCGAAGCTGTGGTTAGATCACTTCCCTGCTGCTAAACCCTCAGTGTATCATCTACCTTACAAACAGTCACTGCACGAGCAAGGCCACCTGCAAACCTGGCCCATCACACCTTTTCTTCCTTCCACAATCCCTACATGTGTTGCACGGGCCAATAAAATGGCTTCACTCAATGACCCATTTTCCCCACTTCTTCCTTCAGCCTTGTGATTTGAAATGTTCATTTCATTCTCATTCCTTCTACTCGACTCTCCATCTGTATCAAATCTCAGACACTAAACCCTTCCTGGTTGGTTTTAATGTGTAACCCCCTTCCACCTTCTATTCCCTACCCTCACCCCTTTTTGAGACAGGGTCTCACTCTGTAGTTCAGGCTGACCTCCACCTCCTAGCCATCCTCCTTCCTCAGCTTCCACATGGCTGGGATTGCAGACTCCAGCCACCACGCCCCTGGCTACCTACTCTTACATAGAGTCCTAGAGTTCTGTTCCATCCACTCACTGCTTCCTCAGCTCTCTCATCTAACTCACAACCCTCTTTTCCTTTGCCGTGTATTATAGACACCTGTATATACCCTGTTCTTTCTGAAAAGCTAAAATCCACTTAAGTACAGGGAGGATTCTAATGTTTACTCTTCACCGTAGCCCTGCAACTGGCCCCTACTCCTAAAACATGAAAATGATTCCGAGAAGATCCATGTCAAGAATACAATTGGCTTCCCCTGGTAGGGGGGTGGGCAACACATTAAAATGAAGCTGCATGGGCTGTTTTTTTTTTTTTCTTTTATCTCTGAGACACCCAGTCCAATGATCTCTTTAAAGCTCCCCATAATTACCATACCAAAATACCCCTTACAGCACCTGCCTTGTGAATTTCATCACCTAAGAATGTCTTGAAATGGCCAAAATAAATAATAAGTTATGCACGACTAGCATTGTCCATAAGAAGTCAAAAGATGAAAGGGGTTGGGGAGAATGGTCAGCTTAACTGCTGGCCCAGGCCAAAGGTTAGTCAAAAGTCACATCCTTAGCTGGAAAGGTCAATGCTATGGAGGGATCTGAAAGTCCAATAGCAATGCAAAGTGAGGGATTTGCAGCAGGTGTTTAGAAAGGAATTCAAAGGCTAGAATGTCCTCCAGGGTCTCAGGAGGCCAGGGGTGGCAAGGCCTCCCCAGCCCAGTGTCTTCTTGTGCTCCACTTGCAGTTTAGTGCAAAGAGACAGACATGCATGGCTTCATTTTCTTCTCTTATCTTTGCTAATGGTTTATCACAAAGAAGTTCTAAAGATACCCCATCATACATAAGCTTCAGTTAGGTTGATAATTTACCAAGTAATGTTTATTAGAATTTAAAAATGTCCACTAAAGAAATTTCCTTGGTAGACTAATGAAGAGGACTATTTAATGGTCATCAGGAGAGAAGGTTTGAAAATGTGGACCGTAGTGAATGTAATCCCATTCTTTGTTCTAAGTAATAGTAGAAAGAAATAATCAGAATTCTGGTCAAAGAAGTATGTACATGAACTTAGTGTAGTGATACTCCCACAGTCCTGGTAAGACACAGGTAAGACAAAAGGATTTCTTTAATTCAGAATTTACAGTGTGTGCAGCATAATGAGACATTGTCTCTGGGGAAAATTCTTTTTCAAAGAATTATAGATATGAGTATTTCAGGATCATATGTAAGGCACATATGAGTATAATATTAGGAATAAGACAGGCAATGTTTTCACTATCTATCAGGCACTGAACCTGAACTTCTAGTATATCAGCTTACCTAATTTTCATAATAATATTGTATTTGTTAATACAGCATGAATTGTATTCTATTAATTATATGTGCTTTTTTGTGGTCTTGGGGAGTGAACCTGGGACCTTGGTCATGTCTGGCAAGCACTCTGCAACTGAGCGACATCTCCAGCCCTGGTTATATGCACCTATATTATCAATATTATTGTTGCCATTTCACAAAATATCTAAGACTGTGACTGCAGATTCACACTGCTTAATCAGAATATTACTGTGTGCTATTTCCACATGGAAGAATTACATCACGTAAAGCCAGAGTGACTTTTCATGCTGTTTTATTTACTTCCAAGTCATTTATTCTTTTTTACTCTAACCGCATCCATGGAACCTCATGGTCCTGAACACTGTTAGGTAAATAAGCACCAAAGTCCCTAGGAAGAGGAAGCTTCCTGTCCTAGAAGCACCAGGCAGTGGTTAACACCAATGAACCCCTGGAAGACAGCTGTATCAAATGTGATGTCTTCAGGACCACGGTGGCTCCACTGTGTGTGCATGTTGGGTACCGACTTAAGATGGTTTACTCTTTTCTTCCAGTCCCTGCCAACAAACCTGCTCTGTCTCATCTTGCCATCCTACTCCATAATGGCAAGCAGGCCAGATCAGGCGGCTTCAAACACTCACTGTATTCCCCTTCCCCACCCTGTTCCCTCCAGCTCTCCTACTCTACTGGTCTCAGCTCTTGGGAATTGGACAGAGAGGACGACTTAAGGCCTTGTGCAAGATACATTTTTGCTCTCTGTAAATCTTTGTATTGATTTTTGTTAGCTAAGTATGGACATGTGTTAGGAATGAAAGGACTAGGAAAGGGGTGGGAGAGATGGCCCAGTGGTTAAGGCTACTTGCTAGGTCTTACGAAGGACTCTGGTTCAATTCCTAGGACCCACATGGCACCTCACAGCCATCTATCACTCTAATTCCAGGGACTCTGATGCCCCTTTCTGGTCTCTGTGGGCACCAAGCTTCTATGTAGTGCACATTCATACATGCAGGCAAACACACACATAAAATAAATAAATATTTTCTTTCTTCAAAAAAAATTGGCTAAGGAAGAGCATAGAATTGGACTCCTTGGGTTCAACAAAACTTTCTTTTACACAGTCATATAACCATCGTTGTCTAGATTCTACTTTGGGGTAAATGTCGTTGTAAATGGAGGTTTTTCTCCTGCCCACCAGTTTCTGAATAACCACTCAGAAGCTTAATATTACTTATAAATATTTGGACAATGACTCAGGCTTATTTTTAGCTAGCTCTTACATTTAATTTAATCCATTTTTTAAAAAAAATCTATGCTTTGCCATATGATTTCTGGCTTGTTACCTATCTTGCTTCCTCCATGACTGGCTGGTGTTTCCTGGCTGGTGTCTCCCTGACTCTGCCCTTCTTCTCCTGGTATCTCTGCTTGTATTTCCCTCCTGGCTCTATTCTGCTCAGCTATTGGTCAAATCAGCTTCTTCATTAACCAATGGTAATAAGACATATTCACAGCATGAAGTGCTATATTGAAATAATGTGCATCTACTCCAGAAGTCAGATAATAACTTCAATGTATTTTAAAAATATTTCACTAAATAAATCACAATTTAATTCTACCTTATTGTGTATTTGTATGTGCATATATGTTGTCTATGTGGCCTTGTGCTGTTTTATCCCTGCACACAGTGCATCTGCAAAGTACAATTACACCAGAAACTGGATGTGTGGACCCCCTTGAATTCCATCGAGGGATCGCACAGCGGGTGGATTGTGAGAGTTGTCAGCAAAAAGACAAGGTGCTGGGGAAATCCCCAGAAGGATGAGATATCTGTTACCTGAGTGGTGTAGTATCTAAATGATACTGAGGTGGCAACATTATGGGAGGGGTGTCATATCAGTGAAAGTTGGCAGCACTCTCCTCTCTAGTGTCATTGACACCAGTGAGTAGCTGGAGAAGGCTAGAGGATCAGGCTAGATTCTCTTTAACACTCTAGCTAA